TCTTTGGAAAATGCTTATTCGGGTCCTCTGCCCACTTAAAATTATGTTGTTTGTTTTTTTGATGTTGAATTTTATGAGTTCTTTGTATATTTTGGATATTAACCCTTTTTTGGGTGTGTCATTTGTAAATATCTTTTCTCATTCAGTAGGCTGCCTTTTCATTTTGTTGATGGTTTACTTCACTGTGCAAAAGCTTTTTAGTTTGATGTAATTCTGTTTGTTTATTTTTGCTTTTGTTCCCCTTGCCTGAGGAGATACATCCAGAAAATATTGCTAAGACTGATGTCAAAGAGCTTACTCACTGTGTTTTAGTCTAGAAGTTTTATAGTTCTAGACTTACATTTAAGCCTTTAATCCATTTTAAACTTATTTGGTATATGGTATGAAAGAGTACTCCATTTTGATTCTTTCACATGTAGCTGTCCAGTTTTCCCAACACCATTTAGTGAAGAGGCTGTTTGCCCCCCATTATATATTCTTGCCTCTTTTGTCATAGGTTAATTGTCTGTTTAAGTGTGGGTTCTTTTCTGTGCTCTCTAGTCTGTTCTACTGAGCCATGGGTCTGCTTTTGTGCCAGTACTAGACTGTTTTGATAACTGTAACTTTGTAATGCAGTTTGAAATCAAGGAGTGTGATACTTCCAGCTTTGTTGTTCTTTCTCAAGATTGTTTTTATCTATTCTGTAGGGCCTTTTGTGTTTATGTACAAATTTCAGAATTATTCTTTTGTAGGTCTGTGGAAAAGAAAATGCCATTGCTATTTTGATGGGGATTGCATTGAATCTGTAGATTGTCTTGGATAGAATGGTTATTTAAACAATATTACTCTTCAATTCCAATGTATTTTTCCATCTGTGTGTCATCTTCAGTTTCTTTAATCGGTGTCTTAAAGTTTTCCAAGCACAGGTCTTTTACCTCCTTAGTTAGATTTATTCCTAGGTATTTTATTCTTCTTAATGTGATTGTAACTGGGATTTTTTTCTTAATTTCTCTTTCTGATAGTTCATTGTTAGTGCATAGAAACACAACAGATTTCTGTATATTAATTTTGTACCCTGTAACTTTATCAAATTCATTGATGAATTTTAGTTGTATTTTGGTAACATCCTTAGGATTTTCTATCTATAGTATTGTGCCATCTGCAGTGACAGTTTTACTTCTTTCTTTTTAATTTGGATGCCTTTACTTTTCTTTTTCTTGGTTCAGTTGCTGTGGTTAAGACTTCCAATACTATGCTGAATAAAAGTGGTGAGAGTGGGTATCCTCCTTTTGTTCCTAATCTTAGAGGAAATGCTTTCAGCTTTTCACTGTTGAGTATGATTTTGGCTGTGGACTTGTCATATGTGGCCTTTGTTGCAATGAGGTATGTTCCCTCTGTACTCACTTTGTGGAGAGTTTTTATTACTAATGGATACTGAATTTTGTCAAAAGCTTTTTCTACATCACTTGAGATGGCAATATTTTTATTCTTCAGTTTGTTAATGTGTGTATCACATTGACCAATTTGCAGATATTGGAAAAATCTTTCCATCCCTGGGATAAATCTTACATAATTGTGATGTATGATCCTTTTAATGTATTGTTGGATTCAGTTTGCTAATATTTTATTGAGGATTTTTGTATCCATGTTTATCAGTGATATTGGCCTCTAATTTTCTTTTTTTTTTGTGGTATCTTTGTGTGGTCTTGGTATCAGGGTCATGTTGACCTCATGGAGTGAGTTTGGAAGCGTTCTTCCTCAGAACGCTTTCTCTGAGATTTTTGGAATAGTTGAGAAGGATTGGTGTTAACTCTTCTTTAAATGTTGGTGGAATTCACCTGTACAGACATCTGGTCCTAGACTTTCGTTTGTTGGGAGACTTTTTGTTATTGATTTAATTTCATTCCTGGTACTCAGTCTGTTCATATTTTCTATTTCTTCCTGATTCAGTCTTGGGAGACTGTACATTTCTGGGAATTTATTTGTTTCTTCTAGGTTGTCCATTTTATTGGCATATAATTGTTCATAATAATCTCTTATGATCTTTTGTATATTCTGTGGTGTTGGTTATCACTTCTCTCTTCATTTCTGATTTTAGTGATCTGAAGCCCTCTTTTTTGCCTTTTTAAAAAAATATTTTAAGGGGTAGGTATTTAGGTTTACTTATTTCTTTCTTTTTAGAGAAGGTACTGGGAATTGAACCCAGGGCCCTTGTGTATGCTAAGCATGCACTCTATCACTTGAGCTATACCTCTCCCCAAAACAGATATCTTAAAGTCTATTTTTAGATGATAAGGTATGGAAAATAATTTTTTAAGTCCAATTTCTACATAATGATGAAGGATTACTTGCATACAACTACTAAAAATGATTTGATGATGAAAGTAAAATTAACAATTTTAAATAGGGGGGGAGGGTATAGCTCAAGTGGTAGAGTACATGCTTTAGCATGCCCGAGGTCCTTGGTTCAATCCCCAGTACCTCCTCCAAATAGAAATAAGTAAAAATAAACCTAATTACCTTCCCCTCATAAAAACAAACAAAAAAATTAAAAACAATTTAAAATAGTGACAGTGGCTAGATAAGATAAAATTACCTATAACCTTACACAACAAAAAAAATACATATCTGAATAAGCAATCTGGAAAGGAACTGGCTGAAATCAAACAAATAGCTTAGCATAAAATATGATGTCAAAACCGGTAAATATGGTAGGGATGGGTAAAATGCAGGGTTGTTAAAATGTGTTCAAACCTAAGAAATCAGCAACTTAAAAATAATCACGTATATACAGATTGCATATATAAACTTCATGGTAACAGCAAACTAAAAATCTGTAACAGACTCACAAATAAAAAATAGAAAGGAATCTAAACATAACACTAAAGATAGTCATCAAATCATGAGGGAAAACAACAGAAGAAGGAGGTAACAAAAAAAAGAACTACAAAACAGCTCGCAGTGTTTTGAGTGTTGTGCACTGAATGTGAATGTTAGTCTTTTCCCTCTAGGTGGCTCTCTGGGTCTGCACAGATCTAGACTGTGAAATGTGCTATTTCTACCTTTATTTTGCCTCTCTTCTCTGTGGGGCTATGAATTACGTTTTAAGTAATTGAACTGTGAAGCTTATGAATACATAACATCAGCCATACAATTTAATACAAGTTTTAAAGAGGGAATAAAGCAAATTAATACAATGTTTGTTAATTACATGCCCATGAATCTAGGGGGAAAGGAGGAGAGACAGAGAAGTTAACTTGTAATTACTGGCACTGTGACTGGGTCTCATAAATAAAGATTTATTAGATTTCTATCATACCTTCATTCTAGGATCTAATTGTATGTACTCATTGTGAGGTAAATTTCTTGAACAAAGGAGTAGTAACTTACCTGTATATTTAATTTTTTATAAAAAACTTAGTTTGGAAAGGGAATAAAAATAGTTCTATACTTATGATAGTGCTGTGGTACTAAAAGAAAGAATTCTAGGGTTTACCAGAATATGTACTTGTCTATGCTCTCTTTTTCTCCCTGACCCTTTAATACTTTGGCCCATAGTAAAATGGTATTTGCTTTTGCCACTTTATCAGAAGAACTTGGGGCTTGTACCCCTTCTTACTCCCTGACAGCTCTTCATTCCTTAACTACTTTCTTCCCTTGGCATCTGTGAAAAGGTCCTTGGTTTTTCTCATTCCCCCCAATCATTTCTTGTTGTGGAGACCTCTTAAATATTGGTGTCTTAATAGGCTGTGGTACTCAGCTCTCTTCTCTGTCTGCTCTGTGTTCATGGACAATTTCATCTATGTCAGAGTTGTAGGTGCCATTTATGTGCCAGTGATTTCCAAGTCCGTGCCCCTAGCCCATTCCTCTGAAGCGTCAAACCAAAATTTTACCTGTTTGCTGTGGCAGACTTAGAATAGGTATTCAGTAAACATTTATACAGTGTGTGAATGTTTAGAACTGAGTGTCTCTCCCCCCAGACCAACCCATCCTTTCTGTTCTCTGTCTTCTTGAAGCAACTCATCAGTATCCAAGCTTGACTTGAAAGTATTTGACTCCTCCTTTTCCTCACTCCACGATTTCCAGTTCCTATCTGTCTAGGTTTGGGAAAAGAGCTGACTTGGGTGCACTGCCCTCATCCCCCAAACCTGCTTTGATAACAGTCCAGTCAGGCTTCTAATTTAGATGTAATCACACTGTAGTGTAATTACAAGTTCACTTTTCTGTCTCTTCCTCCCTCTCCCCAAGTGTGTAGACATGTGATAAATATTTGTTCTAATTTGCCTTTTATTGCTTCCTTTCTCAAATTGCATTAAGTTGGTTAGCTGATGTTATATATTGACGTGCTTGATAGTTTAGGCATCTTAAAACATATGCCTAATAGAGTATTTTTGAACCCTACTCATAAAAATGCACAATTTGAGTGATGAATCATTATGGACAGATAGTTCTCAGAAGTGTTTCTACTTAAATCCTTCAGGACTTGACCGTACACAAAAAGTTTAAATAGTATACAGAGTGAATAGCAGAAGTATCTCTAAGGGCATACATATTGCTTGGCATATTAAAAGATAAAATGGTACTATTTGATAGAACAGGGCCAGTGGCGTAGATATAAGTAACATATTATTTTCTTTGATTTGTCTAAGGTAGTAAATTAGTGTATTAAAATCAGAATGTCTCTGGTCATGTTTAAACCATTTTGTAGGTTGTAGTATATTAATTAGGAATAGTGGAAAACATAGCTTTTTGCATTTTGTTAAGAAGTTTTTTATTACTTTTGGTTTGGCATACACATAATTATCTCTTCAGCTTTGAAGATAAAAAGGAAAAATCTGTTAAGAAAAGAGTTACATACAGTATTGTGTGCCAATGTGGTGGCTGATGTCCATGATCTTAGGAGTCATGCCTAGAATCTGGTCCTTTTATCTCTGTATTACTGTTGAGAATAATTGAAGAGCTGTTGATAATGAACGTGTAGGTTACCCCTGATCTTCTCCCACTTTTCTGTGCCTCTGTAGGTACATGGACTGTATCGCACAACAGGTGCTAGTTTTGAGAAGGCCCAGCAAGAGTTTGCAACAGGTGTGATGTCCAACAAAACTGTCCAGACCGCAGCTGCAAACGCAGCTTCATCTGCAGCAACAAGTGCAGCTCAGAATGCTTTCAAGGGTAACCAGATTTAGAGAATCTTCCAACCATGCACTGTTACCTTTTGACTGTACTTTTTTCTCCAGTTACTGTATTCTATAAATATTTTTTTGTTCAAAACACACAGTACACACAGCACGTTTATTCCCTAATCACTTGTGCATGGGCTAAAACCAGAAAAACTTCCTTGTCTTATTATTTACCTAACTGTTTCTTAATATTTCAGTGCCCCTTGCAGAAAAAAACATTACATGCTAAATAAATATTCTCCATATTTTTGGGGGGATAAATGTTCAGCGAATTATTTCAGTGGTGACACACTGAAATTAACATGGCACTCATGATTAAAAATGCGATTAGTACTTGCTGCAGTCATTCTTTCAAGAATCTTAGACATAAGGATTATACATTGGAGCCGTAAAGCAATGCTTCGCTCTTTTTTCCTTATTTATATTGAAAGAAATAGGACTTCAGAGACTTCCGGATTTTTTAAATTGGCTTGCTTTTAGCAGTTTCAGTCACCAGTGAGGAGCCTGTGTGCATAGTAGATATGTAAATTATCTTTTTATTTTCTTTTTTTTAGAGTAGGCGATATTTTGATATCAGTCTCTGATCTTGCATGGGCACCATGTTTCTTAAGAGAATTAGTATTTTGGGTTATGCACTGCCTGTGGTAATAGGATTGGGGAGTTGTTTATAGAATCAATAGAATCAAAGCAGTGATTTCCTGTAATAGTTTCTTTTAAATAAAAATTTATTCGGGTGCAGTGTGAGCATATAATATTGCAGTGCATTATCCAAAAGAAAAGGTAGATAATTATGGCATAGAATGTAGTGATGATACCTTTTTTTTTCAAAGTTTTCAGTATTCATATCATAGTAAAATATTATTGTATGGAAACTTTGGTATACTCTTGTGGCTACCCTTTTTAATTGAACTGAGAATGTGTTTGGCAGCTCTTTTTTGGGGTATGTGTGTGTAATTTTTAATAGAGGTATTAAAGTCTAGCCTAACTCCATGTCCAAAAAGAACATTACAGTATTTAAGGAATTTTTCTTTTAGCCTCTCATCTCTAGTTGGCATTAAAAATAGAAAGACCCTGGCACTTCATATATATTTGAATCCCTAATGCACTTCAGTCTTCAAGTTTTTGAGACAGACTGAATACATCAGAATTTTTTAGTAATAGAAAAAATAAAACATTTCACTTGCACCAAGCAAGAAGATACAAACAGTTGAATGCATTAATTATGAATATAATCACATTAAAGTTATACTATGTGGCACAGGAATTTATTCTTATAGTATACTTGGGTTGAAACTTTGAATCACTTTTAATACTGATTAAATGACTCAAAGACGCTTGTAAAGTCACTATACTGTGTTCAAGGGGTCATTAGCCAACCTAAGATTGCAGAATAATAGGTAGTGATTTATTTGACTTTATTTTAAGTAAGGGTAGTCTTTTGGATTATATTATTTGAGACCAGAAAATCAGCTGGGCATAAATGGTTAAATCGCTTTTATTTTTTCCCCCCAAATCTGGAGTTAAAATGAGTATCATGCTGTGGATGGGATTGTGAGTTCTCACCATTTATGAAAGAAGCTTTGTGTGATACTGGATAACACAGATCCGTCCAGATGGTGTTTACATTTGATTTATTTGGGACTTTATTGACGTAATATACTTAGAATTTATTTCTTTTATTCTGATGAAAATAGGATTCAGAATATGAATTTAAACCTGTTTTTATTAATATTTCTGATCAGTGATAATCTCCACCTACTTTCTCAACCAAATAAGCCAGTTCGAGTTTTTCAGAGTCTATAATCTTACTGAAAATCTGTTTTGTCAGTGTGCTTCATTGAGTGTGGATTTTACAGACTTTCAAAACATTAACCACGTAACGCAAGAGAACTTATGTCCATCATGAGTTTATATCTTAAGTCCATTTTTTTTCTTTTAACCACAAATGAAAGCTTTATCATAGAGACTTCTGAAAAATACTGAGATTCTTTCCTTCAAGAATTATGAATGCTTCTCTCTATTCTTTGGATGTCCTGTATTATTAAACATCAAAGAATGATTACCACCAACAGTACCCTTTTTGTGTGGATGGGGGAAATTATTTTAAATTCCAGTTATTTGGATTAATACAAGCTTATGAGATAAATTGTTTTTAAAAACATAAATGTGCATTAAAATGATGGCACTGCTTAACAGTTTAATAAGGAGGGATTTTAAATTCTTATATTCTCTATTCTCTTAACAGTAATTATTAGTAAATAGTCACATTTGCACTCAGCTAACGATTGGCATTTGTTAATGTTTAATACTTAATATTAGCATTACCCAGTATTGTAATCATGAAATTGCCTTCACGTTGTAAGGCTCCATGTCATTTTTCAGTTTGTGATATTAAGTTTTGGCTACTTTATTTCAAACTGAAGTTTGAACACTGGAAAATTGTTGCTCAGTGGTTTGTAATTTGGGACTTGGATTATTTATCTAGGGATGTTTGTATATTTTGTCATTGAGTAATATTGCGCTGCCATTATGGTGACTGTCATGGTTCTATATAAATGCTCTCCATCTGTCCCTCTAATGTTGCATGTTTTCAGTGGTTTGGAAGTTTTGTATATTTATTGTATTAACACAGAGTGTCATAGAATAAAATGCTGTTTACTGGATGTTTGTTCGTACAATTTTAAATGCTGTATGAGCACTTCAGAGGCAGAAATTATGCTGAGGGCGTAAACATATATAGAAATTTCACATTTGATTTTTTAAAAATAATCTATGTATAATTCATCATGTGCTACTAGACAAAATAAATAATATAAAAGAATTAAAAATTCTCAGCGACATAAGATGACAATTTTTTCTGTTGCATTAGACCTTAGTAGGTAGTGGAACATGAGCTTCACTCATTAAATATTTTGACCACTTTAAGGTCAAAATACATGAACTGTCGAGAAGTTAGAGAGATTCAGAATGGAAAACTTGTGGCCCAGATTTTTCCTTGTGGGATACCTCTGTACTAGTATTGATTAGATTGGACTTGTGTTCTGTTTCCTAACCTCACTCACTACCTGTTGTTTTATGTACTGATGAAGGTACCTATTTGCCTATTGTTGGATTTTTCACTTGGTTACCTAAAGAGGACATAAAAATATAGACTAGTAATGTCATGGTAAATCTTACTTGAGAAATGCATGTTAAATTAAAATAGGAACAGCACTTCCAGTTTTCTGGGTGTTACCTAAAAAAAAAAGTGAGTTTGGATTTTCACTGTTTATGTCTCCTGTAAATCGTGTCAAGATAATGTATGGTTTGCATTGTAGAGAGAATTTATGTTAGATTAAGTTTCTTAGTTGTCTCTGTAAATCGTTTGTAGTAGCATAATGCTTTTATAGATAGTGCTTTATCTTCTGAAAATGCTGACGTTAGCATCTAATTTTATATCTTTATTGGTAAAATCTGTCTTTAGACTGTTTCTGCACAGAATTTGTTAGTTTTTTGTACAGTTTTCCCTTGTTAGAATTACCGTGGCTGTCACACACACTTCACTGTATCTCCTTCCGTTTTTTCCTTAAGGTAAATGTTAAGAGGAATTTGTTGATTCCATGCGGTTAAGAATTTTAGAGGTAAAATCAGAGTGGTTAATGTAAAAATAATTGAGGATGGTTAAAAATAAAAAATACTTTATTCTGATAGCTTTTTAAGTACCGTAGTATAAATTTATTTAGAATAGAATAATATGTTTTAAAATGTTAGAGTTGTTTTCAATTCTTGTTTATTAAACTAAAAAGTTATATTTCAATGGTCAAATACTATGGAAAGTAAAATAGTTCTACTAGAATCTCAGGGTACATTTTACAAACCAGCATGCTTTTTATAAGGATGGATATTTTTAAACCTTATTTTAAGGGTTTATCACAGTATATAGAAAACAGGAAAGGAATCTATAGAAAATTTCTAAGCCAGGCATTGCCACTAATCTACCCCAGATAAACAGGTATCTTTATTTTGAAGACTATAGGACTCTCTAGTGTTCTTACCCTTCCTATGGGTTTCATAGTTAGAATTTAATTTTCTGGTTTTGGTAAGACAGAGCCTTCAACTTGGAGAATTTTCATTAGCACTGTTTTTTTTTTTTTTTCAAATGACAAGGGACATGGGAGCCATTATGTAGCAATGCAGTAAGTGTTACATTTTAAGTTTATCTAAATCTTGATTTATTTTTCAGTTTATTTCTTTCTGACCTTGGCATGGCTGATAGTATAATTAAAATCCTCCTGCCACTAAAACCCATTTTATCTTTTCTCTAATAGGGATAGAAAATAGTTAATTGTCTTCTACCTAGTAATGTTTCATATAATACATTTGTATAAAATTATTCTGAATGTTATCTTCTCTATGTTCAAACAATTCAATTTGTAGAGTCACAGCATGCAAATTTCATTTTTTAAACTCTACTTGTGTTTAGCTCTTAGATCTTATTCTAGACTTCCTCCAGAACTCTTTTAAGAGTTGTGGGCCAGTGATTCTCAAGATAAATCATGGTTGTGAGTGGTTGCTAATGTAGGAAATTTGTAGTATTCTTCAGGTGTTTGGGGGCTAAGGAAAAAAATGCCCCGAAGCACTGTTTTTCATCTGGTGATCACAGTGGTTCCTCCAATACTATAGTCTCCTACACAGAAACTGAGCCACTAGGCATATGCATCCCTCAAACTAGTTTTTTTTTTTTTTCTGGTATGAAGCAATATACATCTGTTGTAGAACTGTTGAAAATATGGAAAATGATAAATGAGAAAATAAAAATAATCCGTAATTTTATCCCGTAGGGATACCATTACTACTGTTTAATCATATTTTTTGTTATTTTTCTGTGCACACATACTTTACAGAGTTCAGGGTTATAAACGATGTGGATTTTTTTATTCTATTTTTCCTTCTCTTAGCATTGTATCATAATGGCCTTCATAGTTTAGCTTTTAAAATTAACTTTAAAAAAATTTTAAATTAATAAATATTTCATTATAAATTACAAAAAAATTCATATAAACAAAAGAGGATAAAGTTGTTTGTAATTTTATACCCATAAATAACTACTATGAAAATTTGGTTTGTATCTTTCTTTTAATTTCTAGGAAGAAACTTTTTTCCTAAATTAAAAAAAAAATTTTATGTTGGCAGGGGTGGGGAGATAATTAGGTTTGTGTATTTTTAGAGGAGGTACTGGGGATTGAACCCAGGACCTCGTGTATGCTAAGCATGCGCTCTGCCACTGAGCTATACCCTCTCCTCCCCAAAATTAAAAAATAAGATTTTCCTCTACATCCTTGTAATAGATCCTTTAGCGATGTTTATCTAGCTCTCACAAGCCCCATTTGTTTGGTCCCTGAACACAACATTGGTACTGGGTGTCATCTAGCCATAGTAGACTTAGGCTTGGCTCATTAAATTTTTATTCTGAATGTAGATTTGTATAGAGCTATACTGTTTCAGAATTGGGACATATGGGTTGCCATATTCTGACAAGAGGAAGAGTTACCAGCAAGCTGATCTGTAATGAAAATGAAGAATGAAGTAGACATGCAAAAAAGAGTAGGATGAAGGACATAGAAAAGACCTTAATTAATAACTTTCTGCTTCCTGTAAGAGGCCTGACTGTTCACCCACATTTCATTCTGTTACCCAGGTAACATTCTTACTGTTTTCTATCTGAGCTATGTCTTTTTTTTGGGGGGGGGAGTACAGATATTTTTACTGAAGTATAGTCAGTTTACAATGTTGTCAATTTCTGGCATACAGTATAATGCTTCAGTCATACATGGATGAGTTATATATCTTGAGTTGGCTTCCTATGACTTTTCACCAGAGAATTTTAACTAACCTAATGGTTTGTAATCTTTTTTCAATTATGACATAATGTTGAACTTTTTCATATTTATGAATTATTTCTGTAACAGAAATAACATAGCCACCTTCATATCCATGTATCATAAATTATTTTTCTAAATCCTTCATCCTTTAGGTTCTGATTTTTAGCTTACTATAAATAATTTATCAAGGAATATACGGTTGCTAAATTTGGGGGCCCAAGCTTTTTGTTCTTAGGACAAATTGCTCAGTCAAAGTGTAAGCATATTTTAAAAGATCTTTGATGTACATTGCCAAATTGCTCTCCAGAAAATTGTATCAATTTATGCCTCCATCCACAGGAAGAAGGCCTTTATCCACACTGTGCCAGGATTGGATATGACAATCAGGAAGTTTTCTGAGCATTCTGGTTTCCTCTGGATGATGGGCTCACCCGGCACTACATTTATTTTTTTTGTTTTGCTAACTAGGAGTGACCGTGTATCCTGTATCCACAGAGGAATTTTCTACTTCCTGAAAGCACTAAACTCAAGATGATTAGTACAAGATGGAAGAAAAAAGGTGGCTTCAGGTAGCCAATCCATTGAGTGGGCCTCTCTAGGTAAAACTAGATTGGTTTTAACAAGTTATGTTTTTCTTCACAGTTCATGGAACAACTCAATTTTTAAGATTAACTCTAAATGATATTAGTCTGGGCAGACAGAAAATCTGTTTAATTTTTTTCTAATAATCACCTTTACTTATGGAGGACTTACTGTATACCAGAGACTATCTAAGTGTTTTACATCCATTACTTAATCCTTACACCAAACCTATGATGGAATTTCCATTATTGGCCTCATTTTTATAGAGGAATGTGAAATTATCTCAGTCACTCAGTGAGTGGTGGTGATGGGCTAAGGAGGGGCAGCTAGACCCATGTCCCCTGACTGCTGCCAGGTGTGGGATTGCTTCTGCCACTGAGTGTCACCTCTTTCCAATTCTCTACTTACTTTCCATCCTTCCACATTTCCAGTAATTCATATCCATCCTTTAGGGTCATTGGAGCCTAGGAAAAAAATCAGTAATCAAGAAAAAAATTACAACATGTAATTTTGAAATTTCCAGACCAAGGCCTAACTGCACAACGTGTGGGTAAGTACCTTCTGCCTGTCTTTCACAGCAGTGTTCACTTACTTTTGTCTTTGTGTGTGTGTTTGGACAAACTTTAGCTGAAAACAAATCTTGATTAGGTTAACAAAGAATAGGCCTCCAGGATGAGAGATTATTTACAATAAGAAAACAATAAAAACTCATTTTTTTAAACAACTGTCATATACCTGATAAATTTTTAGCGTCTGTTTTTAGGAATATGGGAATTGAGACATATGGTGTCATCTTGAAAAGCATGAAAAATTACCAGGTTTTTCTCAGCAGTGTTTTCATCAGTTGCAAACTTAGAGTGCATCCTTTTTGGGGTTAAACTTGGAAGTCATCCTAACAGTATACTACCCAGAGATGTTGGTGTTCCCAGGTGGTTTGTATTTGCCGTCTCCTCACCTCGTACATCCTAGGCAGAAGGAAACTACAGCTGCTTGAGAATGTAGACTTTGGTGTCAAACCTGTATTTGAGCCTTGGCTTTGCTACTTACTAGCTTTTTAATGTGAGGGTAAGCTGCTTACCCTCAGTTAATTTACTTAAGTGATAGTTATTTTACCTATAAAATGAAGATAATTTCTATTCATAGGGTTTTGATGAACAAATGAATTATACGAATTGCTTAGCACAGCACCTGTACATGGAAAGTGCATAACAGTTAAAAACTCTTATGGTCTGTCCATATGTGTATAATGACTCCCAAATCTCTATCTCCAGTCTGGTCTCCTCTCCACAGTGTATTCCTAGCTGCACACAGGACTTCATTGGCAGCCTAAGCTGAACCTTCAACCTCAGTGTCTGCTCTTGTTAGGTTCCTGATCTGGGTGGTGGCATCACTTTCTACCCAGTGCCCAAACTAAATACCTGGGAGTCATCCTGGATGCTTCCCTCCTTCCTCAGCTGCTTCTGATCAGTCACTAAGCTGGCCGTTCTTTCTCGCTGGTATCACTGCAGTTCATCTCATTGTCTTCAGTGTCGGCCGCCTTAATTCAGGCTTGTTTCTCTTGAGAATAAATTTTAGTTGTTTCTTCCAAACGTAGGTATTTGGTGGACTGCTTGCCTATAAGTATTAGATTTTTCAGGATATTTGGCTATAAAAAGTCAAAGAGCTGCTAACAGTGACAAGTTACTGATTGATTTTTTCCATGTGGTTTTACTACTTCCTCTTATTTATCTGTGCTTTTATTTACATTCTGTGTATCTAAGCAAAATGAGCAGTTCATGTCCTAAAGACTTATCTTGCTAAACTCTGTAGGGTGAGGAGGAAGCTGCAAGGAGGAAGATAGCAGGGCCAGCACTGGACGGCCCCACACAAATGACTAAGCAACGGATAAGGGCTCTGAAACAAAGACAATTACTGGTTCTTACTGCTTTGGAGAGTAGGCTAAAAGTTTGCTCTGATGGTTTTGTGCTTTAGTGTCTGAGAGTTTAAAAAGGTACTGAATTATTGGAAAGTACTGAAATAACCCACTTAAAGGAAATGTTCAGGATGGTCAAGACTGCTCTTAAGTGGTTTTATGTTAAGCAGAGACTTTAAGGAGAGCTAGGAGTAAGTTGAATGCACTGTGTTCCAGGAAGATCAATCATGGAAAGTTGATGCAGTAGCAGAACTGCTAAGTAAAAACTACGGAGAAAACGGGAAGCACGCATGAGGGCTCCCCAGCCTCTGCTGAAATGTAAAGCCGGGGTCCTTTCTCATGTGGATTAACTTTTGAGAAAGATGTAGTAACAGCTGGAAGAGCAACTTTATCATGTCCACTTTTGCTTGGATTGTTTAGATCGTAATTTGGGAAAATATTTTTCTTTATTGATTTGGATAATTCCGTTTTTGATTGCTATTAGAAATCTGGCACGTGTCAGGTATGTTTAGAAGCCAGATCATAAATGTGGTTTCAGCTGTCACAGGCCCTGGATCAGGGGGAAGAATAGCTGTTTTTGTTTATTCTATTACATAAGTGCTTCGTGTGATACGGAGAGTTGAGTAAGAGTTTTTGAAGAGGATTGTTGGTGTTTTCCTTGAGTTAATAAGTTAGAATTCTGTTCCTGGATGAGGCTTTTTGGGGGCAAGATTACCTTCAGGAAACATGGGAGTGCAGCTGCACCATTGCTGGCTTTTAATTTTGGTGTATTTGTTGGGAGAGGAGATTGTGTCCCTCAGTTGACTTTTCTCTTGTAGTTACTGTTCCTTATTTATAATTACATTGTTGCTTCTCCAAGGAAGAAATATCTTGAAGTTAAAGCTAACCTAAGGTAGGAATATATGTTACTAGTGAATGGTATAGTTAAAATACCTGAATATTTTTTTTCCTATCATCAATATTACATATAAGTTAGCATTTAAAGTAAAATTTGGCTGGTTGATCAAGAAAATATCTAAGTATACACATCATATTGAAACCAACATACTGAGACTTGAAAGAATCAGAATGAGTTTGTAAAATCTGGTTTAATTCGTATCTGGGGAGGGAAGCATGTTGTGAAAATACATATGCACGGGAACCTAATCAATGCTAGACAAACAATGTATTAGTTTACAATATAACAGGATAACCACAAATTTGAAGGCTCAAATTGAGTCCATCAGTGGTAAATACAATTCTATATTTGGCTCAAGTGGCTGTTGAATATCAAGTGGTGCTGAGTTCCTCCAAAGCACCTGTGACCCCCCAGCCTTGGAAGGAGTTTCACCACAGTCTCAGAAGAAATCCCAGTCATGCCTTTAACTCTTTTGGCCCTTGGGAGTCACTGCTGCCCAAATACAAATGCAGGCCAGGGATTTCCAGTGGCCACATGTTATTGCACAGAGAGGTCTGTTCTAAGCCAGACTCTTACGGCTAAGAAGGTGTGAGATTAGCCCTTAAGTAGTGGTCTAGCATTAACGTGGTCTATCAAAGCAAGTTAAGAAATAGCTCCTTAGTGATTATGTACCAGCTACTAGTTATCACACTAACAGAAAAGGCAACGTGGCAGCTTCACATTTCACATGAAAGACTAGCATTAACTGGGCCTGCCTTGCTGGCTTAACCTTCACATCAGTCTAGTGATTATTTTAATTTAGACCCAGGAAAAAATGATTTCATACCAGTCTTCTCTTCACATAGATTTGTGTAGCATTAAAACTGTTATGGGTTAATGACTAGGCCATGAAGGCAAAATGTTTAACTCTCCTTTGCCAAAACAGAAAACAGCCTCTGTTCTGACTCCTGTCCAGTTTCCAAAAAAACAAAACATACATACACCTTTGTTATTGCACATCTTTCACACAGACTTGTGTATGTATAATATACATATATATTTTTAAATATGCTACACATAAAAAAAGGACTATGGCACTTTACAGAATACATGTTTAACAAAGATCATTACACCACAGATGTTTGACAACTATACAGAAACCCTTAAGCAATTAATGTAACATTGTTGAATTAGCACACAGGTTTAAAGAATCCACAGAATCCAAGGCAAACACTTTCTTGGAGTTCATTGAGAAGCCCAGCCCCACTGCAAAACTTTTAAGCACAAATGCAGGCAAAAATAAATAAGACTTTTCGGGTAGTAGTAAATGGTCCAGGTATATTAGATTTTTAGACTGAGGCAATTACATGACTGATAGAAATTTATTAGAATAATAGGTATGGGTCACCAATCAGTCTGTTTTTAATCTATTTCTTTCTAACACATTCCTCACATTCAGTGGTTTTAGACAGCCGTGCAGTTTTCGTCTAGACTAGCATGATTTTGCATATTCCACTTATCCCAACTGAAGCCTTGCTAAATGGACTACAGGTTTAAAAGGCCCAACATTACCTTTCACTCTCTCTGCTAGAGAAATTCCATCTCTGCTCTGCCTAATCAATCAGTGTTTAAGTAGTTTTTTTGTGGTTTGGGATTTTATATGTGTGCATGTACTTTTTTTTTCTTCTATAGCATTAGGCTAATTAAATAAACACCATTAAGTGACTTTCTTCTGGCCAAGAGGCCACATTTTCACTTATGACTTTTGTTATCAGTGTGATCTAGGGATACACCAACCCCTTAGCTAAAATGCAAAAACAGCAGGCAGTAAAGATGATGGACATGCTTAGAGGATCCCCTGGGCTTATGACTTGTCTGTGAGGAGTGTGAGATTGTAAAATTAGTGTTAGAAAATGGGTTGTCTATCGTCAAAGAAGAAAAAGAGTGAATCTTCTGATGATAAATTTTAGAAAAATAGTGAGTTTTTAATCAAGATTATTTGCCTGATAAAGGGAACTGCTTTTTTTTTTTAAATGAAAATTATTGCCAAGGGTTAAGAAGTAGTTACAGTGGTGGTATCAGGCCTTGGTTAGAGCATACAGACACACAGTCAAGGCCAGGAGTCCTGTCCAGCGGCTGCCGTAACAAGTTTCTGTGTGGCGTCAGAGACAGGGTGGTTGTTTCCTGAGCCCTTACCGCAGGCTGCTGAGGGTACGTATTTACTCCTCTTTTCAAAAAAAAAAAAAAAGTCACAGATTTACACTTTGCTTATTCTGAACTTCGGTCTAAGAAGGGTGAGCTCATTAGATCTGGTTCCACAGCCCCACCTCTCCTACCCTTTAGCTCTTAACGTGTGAGATAAAATGGTTTCTGCTATAGGCCAAAGGCTTCAATGGAATAAAACTTAGTTGTTCCGTTCCATCTGTATATAAAGCAATTAGTTGTTCCGTAGCAAGGCATGGTTTAGACTCACACAGCTTTAAGGTGATTCATCCAAGGCAGGGCTGTAAAATCTGAATCAGGTGGCATTTAACACACAATACCTTGCCCAAACAAGGTGTGTCATTATTCATTAAATTTTCAAAACAAAGCAAGCCCTCGAGTAACCAGATTCATAAGCCCAAAGAGACCTATACTTGTAATCCTTCCAGAAATCTGGCAGGTCCACTCCACTTGCTTAAATTGCAAAGAAATGTCTTTATGTCATTCTGCAGTTTTGAAGCTCAGGGTAATACCAGACTAAGTTCTTTCTGGTCACTTTGATCATTCCAAAGTAAATTTGAAGTGATGGTGATCATTCCAAAGTAAATTTGAAGTGATGGCTAATACCATTTTCCTGAATCAATTATGTTGGTAATTTACAGAAACTAGATTAAGAGCCCCTGAATCCTTTTTAATAGTGGTGTTCTATTTTTGTAAACAGGTGTATGCAGGTGCTATGAGCTTGGTCTGGCTCTCATTTTTACATTAATTTTCTACTTTGTGCTTTCCTGGGAATGAAGCCTTTGATGTAACTCCCCAGTAAGAGCAATTTAATGTTATTTCAGTCTGCTTTCAGGATCAATACCAGTAACTAGAAACACTGAACTCCCATGACTAGCTCCTTTTTTCAGCACAGAATGCCAAGCTGCTGGCAGTGGGGACACAGCCAACCACAGTGTGGTTACCGCACGGTGGGAAAAGGTTTCCCACAAGTGCTGAGAGTCTTGCAAACTCTCCCGGTCAACATCTGAATGAGCCACAGCCGGCTTGGAGACCTCGTCCTTGGAATGAGGAAACTAAGTGAGGTTCCCTTCGGCAGTCAAAGCGCAGTCCTGCCCCTAGAACAGAAAGAAACGTGCTCTCTAGAGAAGACTGGGCCAGTACTGGTGCTAGCCTGGCTGCTGGGAAATGGAATGAATTTGTCTTCATTAGCAGGATTTTGTACTTTCATTCTCATGATCGGACAGGTCCTTCTTTCTTTACTTAAAACATCTAAAATCTTGGAGTGACAGTTCAGTTGATCCACTTACTCTGGAATTTAGCCTAGAATCAGTTCCACAACAGGATTCTACACTGTCCCTGCTGACCCCTTGGGTCAGCTAAGCAAGAGACATCTTGCTATGCCTCTGAGCACACATCCTCTCTCCAGTAAGTGTGCAGTCTTTGTTGTAGTCTCTGAGTGAGACAGTTTGAAAGAACTAAGAGGAAATAAAAACACCATCCCCAGGCCTCACTCTGAGGCAGAGGTGCTCACAGGCATGAAACCTAGTGGCAGAAACACATCTCTAAACAGCCTGCTAATCTGGCTAACAGTCTCTTGTTACCAGAGAAACTGCTGCTTTGACGGTTTAGCTCGTCATCCTTCATAGAGCCTCGGGGGAGATGGAGTCTGACAGAACTTAACTGCAGGTCAGGGCTTCTGTATTACTGTCATGTTCCATCTCTCACAGCTGGCACTGTGGCCTTCATGTGCAGTCACTGCTTAGCTGATGTTGCCTGTCCCTGGTCCTGTCAAGGCTCTGGGCTGTGGAGTGTGGCTCTGGTAGGTAAAGGCTAGTTCTTCATTTGACTCAAATGACAAAACCAGAAGTGAACTGTTTGTTTCACAAGGTTACACGAGCGAGAAAATGGCATTAATGTCTCTTCCAAACTAAAGGAGGCAGATAAGGTTTTTCCCCTCTTCTATTTCCTCCTGTACTTTGTCGCTGGAGGTTGCGATTTCTGCCTGGGCGGAGAAGACGGCACAGATGAAGGTGAGGACCGTGCCCCCGATGGCGGTGTAGAAGGCCCAGCCCAGGGAGCAGTCTCCGGGTTTGTAGGCCGATGCATAGTGTCCACAGTAGCCTATGGCCTTCTGGCAGCCCCAGCCAGCAGGGTAGAGTATCAAACCGAGGATGAGGAACAGGCCTGCGGGGCAGAAGAAAAACACAGCTGAAACCCTCAGGGCTCTACGCTGTCCGGTGAGTAAGTGCGCAGGTCTGTGTAACTCTTCCTTGGCTGCCCGCTCTGGGCTCCGGCAGCCGTTCTGCAATACCAAGTGTTAGGGGCTGTTTTATGCAACTAAGGTGGCCTGCTCAAGAAAACCACTGTATTAGAAACATTTTTAGCCTCTTTTGATCATGTTAGCATATGACCCACTAATAATTTCTCTTTGTTGCTGTTCCTTCCCGCAGGGCTCTTGCTGCAGTGAGCATTTCCCTTTTGGTTTAAGGCAGAGGTTGGCAAACTAAGGCCCCCAGGTCAAGTGGGGCTTTGTTCTTGTAAATGAAGTTTTCCTAGAGCACAGCTCCACCCATTCGTTTACGGACGGCCTATATAGCTCTTCTGGGCTGGCCCCGTGCAGTGAGTAGTTGCTACAGACCGTATGGCCTGCAAAATCTACATGATTTACTATCTGGCCTTTGGCAGAAAAGGTTTGCCGACACCTGGTCTCAGGGAGTTCACGTAGAACCGTGGTTAAATGCCAGGGACCAGATGCTTTAAAGATAAGCCCAGGAGGCGTCTGTTTGCTGGCATTCACCAACAACCAACTGCATACCTAGGACAGAGATTTCTATATTTACATATACATTTAGAAACCACCTGCAAACGTCATAAGAATTTTTTGTCTGATTGCTTTTAAGTAAACTCACCCTTGAGTAGACACTACTAAGCTCTGTTTCCATTCTGCTGATCCCATCACCCTGTCACACCAAAGGTCCATTTTTCTGTTCCTTACAGCTTTACTGCTACGTGATTTATTACATAAATAAATGGTTATTTTTCCTGCCAGCCCTGGTGGGTTAGGAGCTACTCCAGGGCCAGGAATAAAGCAAGGCAAGTGTGAGGCATAAAATGGAAGGTGAAGTCACTTTCAGGTGCTTGTTCTGTGCTTGCAGACGCCTGAGGGTGATGCCTGCCTCCCCCTGACCCTGGCTACCAGTCACACGGGAGCAGCTGCTTCTAAGGAAGTCCAGATCCCAAATCGTCCCTAACCAAGCTTTCTTGGTGAAAGAATGCTGCAGGAAGAGGATGGCTTTATTCCACATGGCAGGAAAAACCAGTTTTCTCAGAAATGACTGGGAGCTTGGAGCACAACCCCCGGGGACGAGGCAGGCCAGAGAGAAAGTGTTGGTACTCTGGAGTATGCACGGTCCTGGGCTGGATGTCGAGTCAATTCAAAGGCTAGACGTCACACAGCAGAAAAGCCCCTACAGTCTTAGGCTGGGATACAAACCAGCAGGATAATGGGCCACGGCCCAGACTGAGAGATTGGTCAAAGTTTGGAGTTAAGACAAGAGGTCTGAATCCCAGCTCTGCCATGTATGAGCTGGGTGGCCTTAGGAAAGTCTGTTAACCGAAGTATAATTCCTCACCTATAAAATGGGCTGATCTCTAACTCATAAGGTGGTTGTAAGTATTAAAGTCTGTAAAGAGTTCTTTCTGTACCCCTAACAAGAAGGCTGGAACATAAACTAATGCTAGACAACAGGCTAATAAAGCCTTCGGCAGACCCCTCCCGCACCTCAGCACCAGCAGTGTAAAGTTCACCAGTTACGAATAAACAGCTCAGCTTATTTTGGGGCATTATATTTTGAAAGGTGTAATAATGGGGGAGAGGCCAGGCTACAACTCAGTACCCTTCTGAGCTAATTCTTCTGTATTTCTAATTAAGGCCTCTGATTAATCCCCATCTTGTCTCCTAGGAAACCTCACCCAAGGCACATGGAACCCTGACAGTTTCCTCCCTCAGGTCCTCAGTTACCGGTGGGGAACAGTGAGGCACCATCGCTGGGACTTCCATAAGGATTCAGAGGCACACTCTGCATGCAGCCTGTGGGTGAGGGAGTATTGGCTGCTCTTCCCTTTAAAAGACCAGAGTGGTTATATTTGAATTGTGGCTCCAATTAAATATTAATTGCTCATATCATTTGTATTCTGTGGCTTAAACAAGTCCAATAAGTAAAATTAATGTGTTTTAGGATGATAGGGACTAGGGGCAGAAGACTCTGGCTCATAGGATGCATAGGATCTGTCTCAGATCCTTCTGGAAGCTGGCAATTTAAAAAAAAATAATGTAATCCTTATTTTAATAGCATCGGACCCCTTTTCACAGCACAGTCAGGAACCTTCAACTCCAGTACTTTTCACCTTTTCCATTTGCTCAGAGCTCAGATAAGGTTCCTAAAGTGCTTCAGGCTGTCTTAAAATCTTGTGGCTGCTACTGGCCCATCAATTGTGCATAAAGACAGTAGGGAGAGTTGTCATAAAAGGGTGCCATGCTTAAGAGTAGCAGAAGCCTCAGCTTGATTATTTATAAGCCCACCGGGAGTCCACATGGGAGGGTAAGAGAAGGACCACATGCTCCCAGCCCAGGCAGCCGTCCCTGCACACACAGGGGAGCCTTTCCTGAATCTCAGAGCAGCAGTGGGTCGGGAAGGAAGTTGCCTCTGTCTCCCTCGCCCTGGCTGGTGGGCCTCCTCCCAACACTCAACAGAGCTGCCCTTAGCGTGGTTGCCATGAACATGCAGGACCTCTGTCTGGCTGAGCGAGCAGATGGCCTTCAGGTGAGCAAAACCAGAACAGACGTTTGTAGTCTTTCTGGGTGGTTAGTTAGAAAAAGGCTCTTCTATCAGAGGAATTCCAGAAAGTTTAGTGAGGGAGGTGGCTACACATGGTCCTCACCTCCCAAGGTCCTGATTCTGCGCTGCTCCTGGGGCCCAACAAGTGTTCCTTAGTCACAGCCATCGTCCCACAGATTCTTTTCGCTTCCTAGTAAAATTGAGACTGGGAAGCCTTTATGGGCTTTTTCCCTCCGGGCACTCAAAGGCCCACGTGTTCTGGCTCCCTGCTTCCCACCCTTGCCCTCTCTGCTCCTGTCATATTCCTCTCCCCTGCAGTGCCTCCTTCCAGACGGCTTTCCGAGGTCTGCAAGTGCCACCTCCTTGGTCTTCCACTTCAACCACCTACCTCCTGCTTGCTATCCCTCTTCCTCTGGGGTGGCTCGACTTGATACGATGACATCCAAGTAGGTACCATTTTCTCCAACCTTAAAAGATATCTCACCCTTGTATCTTTTTTGGGGGGGACGGGTGGAGGGTAGGTAATTAGGTTTGTTTATTTTAACGGAGGTGCTATGCACATGCTCTACCCCGGAGCTGCACCCTCAGCCCCACCCTTGTATCTCCTCACCCTGTCTTCTCTCTCGTTAACAATCCCCACAGTTCGTTATACCAAGAGGACTAGAAGATGCCAGCATACGCTCACCAAGGGGTCACCTGGGGTATGACTCAACCTTAGCTGGGGAAGAAAAAAGTTTAATGAAAGGAAACTGAAGGGTTGTCGCTTGGAACTACCCCACGGCTGCCACCCCAGGCTGGAGGCAGAGCCTTGACAACTGCACTGAGGCCCTCCACAGGGTGCTGGTGCTCTCATGACCCTTGGGCGCCAGCCATCACCGAGCCACATCATCCTGTCCCTTTGCTATTTTAGTAGTGCTTCCCCTTACCTGGAAGGAGCTTTCAGACTAACTCAGCACTTCCATCCTGCTACACAGGAATTCTGAGTCTATACGGGCAACTTAAACATTTGGTTTGGGTTTAACTCCAGTAATTAGACTCCATGGGTTCCGAAAGGGAGAGGGTAGGGGCTGCATCTCATCGCTGAGTTTCCAGTGCCTCAAACAAAGGTGCTAACAAATAAATGAACGAAACACCCCAGGAAAGTCAAGTCATAATCTTCCTGATCAGCAGTCAGCACTGGCTGTGATTAGACCAGCCACAAAATTATATGTCTTAGGTAATTTTCGTGCTACTGCACTGAAATCAAATACGTTATCAAATGTAAGTTTGAATCAAATCCCTTAGGTGGGGGAAAAACACTGTGATCCTGCCAAGCCCCCAGTTGTGGAAAGACTAGGAGTTGCTGAAATAATACATGATATTTTACTTGGTCTGAAGATGACCACCTTAAGCTTTAAGAGTGTGGGATGCTAGGAATGGGGGAGCCAAGCCTGAACCCCTACTCTTCAGCTGGTGAAGGCGGGGGCTCCATGGCATCTCACAGTCTTCCTGCTGCTTTAGCGCCACCCCCCTCCAAATCTGTCACACCATCACCACACACTTTCACTACCTTCTGGCCAAGGGAATGGATGCCAGGTTTCTTGATTTTTGTGGGTCACCCCGTTTGGACAGAAGGCGGCCCTTTTCCCTGGCCTGAGGAGTGTGAGAACTAGAGGCTGGTTTCTGCTGGACAGAGCAACAAGTGAGTCTGTGGACATCACACTCCTGCTTCCTCACTAAATAGTAAAGACTGACTAGACCTCAGTTTGCAAAAGAAATTTTCTTAAGGACAGGAAGCAGAGACGGCCCTCTATTACGGCTACCGGCAGCCTGTGGGGAAGCCCCCAGTGAGGGCCACACTCAGCCCCCACTAGGTCGTAACAAGCTCACTCCCGGGCTGTGGGACCTCCTCATCTCTCTGGACAGTGATTTCAAGCAGACAGTGGATGGCAGGCTTAGTATTGTGTGATAAATCTGGGCTCCAACTAGGTCATCCTAAGGCGTGTCCAGACTGTGTGCCTGTCCTGGTGCCAGGCAGTCACGAGTGGCCGGCCCTGCAGGGATGGAGAAGGCGACAGTGAAGGGTGTCACAGGCTTTAAACACTCGGGCCAGTGCTACTCGGGGAATCTGGTCACACTGCAGTATAACCGCTCCCTGAACCCGGGTCTTCCTCATGCTGACCCCGTGGGCACTCATCTAACTGGAAATAACCCCTTTCATCTCATTGTCACCTCTGTGTGACACTGGTCACCACTTCCTGCCAGAATGTTATTCTGTGTGTTTCCACTTGCCTGTGCACATCCCTCAGCTTTTTATCATATGTTGCTTCAGTGTACTTAGTAAACAGTTGTTGAATAAGTTACCTA